CCGCGCACTGCTTTTTACACACAGGTTTCCCCGGAGTTGGGTTTTCGCCTGCATTTTTGTTCCGATGCTGCTCTCGCTGGGGCGCCGGCCTCACTTTCGGGCCCCACTCGCTCCGAATCGCGCTCCCGCTGCAGCGCTGGCATCATTTCCGTCGGCGCCCGGGCTGCACTCCCGAGCCGGCGCCAAGGCCAGCGCTCGGGCCGGGTCCGGAGCCGGTTCCGGCCGCCGCCGGAAAATCGAGTTCCAAGGCGGCGCCGAAAAAAGGCCATTCTAATTCACATTTTTGGGGGGAAAATGCTGAATTTCTGCTTCCGGCGCCCGGCCGACGCCCAGGCCGGCGCCCTGGGCCGGACGCCCGACCTGGCACCCGGGCCGGCGCCCAGGCCGGGTCCGGAGCCCGTTTCGGCCGGCGCCGGAAAATCGAGTTCCGAGGCGGCGCCAAAAAAAGGCCATTCCAATACACATTTTTCTTTCGAAAATGTTGAATTTCTGCTTCCGGCGCCCGGGAGGCCTCCCGGGCCGATTCCGACGCCCAGGCCGGCGCCCGAGCCGTCGCCCGGGCCGGACGCCCGAGCCCGCGCCCGGGCCAGCGCCCGGGCCGGGTCCGGAGCCGGTTCCGGCCGGCGCAGGTACACATTTTTCTTTTGAAAATGCTGAATTCCTGCTTGTGGCGCCCAGGAAGCCTCCCGGGCCGTTTCCGGCGTGTTTCCGCTCGTTCCGAATCGTGCTCCCGTTGCAGCGCTGGGCCCTCATTTCCGCGCTTCCGCTCGTCTCGACTCGTGCTCCCGCTGCAGCGCTGGCGTCATTTTCCGTGCCATGCCACGGCATGCAATGCAATGCTGGGTTGATACTACGCTTTGCGGTGCTCTTCTACGCCATGCCACGCCGTGCTCTACAATGCATCACGTACCCTTTCGGGATCATTGCCCTGCTCGACATCCGACTGTGCGAGTAGAGAGGGGATCTGCGCCATGGTAAGGGATGGGAGGGAGGGGTAGGATGTCAGATATCATTTCCGCGCTTCCGCTCGTTTCGACTCGTGCTCCCGCTGCAGCGCTGGCGTCATTTCCCGTGCCATGCCACGACATGCAATGCAATGCTAGGTTGATGCTACGTTTTGCGGTGCTCTTCTACGCCATGCCATGCCGTGCTCTACAATGCATCGCGTACCCTTTCGGGATCCTTGCCTTGCTCGACATCCAACTGTGCGAGTAGAGAGGGGATCTACGCCATGGGAAGGGATGGGAGGAAGGGGCAGGATGTCAGATATGACCCGAGCGCACCTAGTCCATGTCATCCTCCCCTCCTCCTCCTCATCACCCTCACTCCTCCTACCCCTCCTCCTCCTCCTCCTCCTCCCCCTCCCCCTCCAGCTGCCGCTCCCGCGCACCAGCCCGCCCCGGCCTCGGCCCGCGCGCCCGCAGGGGGGCCGACGGGCACCCGCCGAGCGCCGGACGGACTCCCGCCGCGACAGGAAGGGGATCCCGCCGGAGCCCCCCTCGATGCGGCCGAGGAACGCGATGACCTTCCGCGCCAGGCGGCCGGCGTGCAGAGGCCCCCAGGCACAGGTTTCCTCTGGTGCCACCGCGCCGCCGACGCGACTCCACTCTGTCGCCGCCGCCGCCGCCGGAGACACAGAGCAGACCGACCTGGATGATGAGATGGATGAGCGAGCGCCCATTTTTGGGGCGAGTACGTCCGCCTGGACGAGGCGCGAAGGGGCTTACGCTCGTTCTTTCCACCGCCGCCTCGTGCCCTCTCCGCCTCCCCGCCTCGCCCTGCTGGCCCGGCCTCCCCCGGGAGGGCGCCAGCTGCTCTGCCTGGCACACCACCACTGAATGACAGGGGGCCCAGGGACGCACAAAGAAGTACGCACACATCCAGGGAGTCTCGATATTTTCGAATGTGTTCTGGGCGCTCGTCTTCCCCCCCCCCACACTTCCCAGATTGTCCCATATTTACCTGGGAGTCGACGATAAACTGTGTCTGTGTGATTTTCCCCGCCTGATACGCACCTACCTGCATGCCCGCCCGCCCCCCATTCCACCCCTCGGTGTCTTCGAACTCCTCGGAAGCTCCCAGAGGCCGGTACTACAGAGACGAAGGAACCCAGCAACATCTAGGTTCAATCTCAACGCCGATCGTGGCCAGGCACGCTCGACCTCCACGATCCGTGTGAGCGGTGGGCGGAAATGGGCGGGGAATGGCATGAACATCCTGCCTCTGAACCGACGGCGGAGCTCCCTGCGGGGCACTATGCGTGCGAAGGGTGCGTTGAGATGGGCAGGGGGCGTCACGTGACAGCTGCCTCTCATCATCATCATCATCATCATCATCATCATCATCATCATCATCATCATCATCATCATCATCATCAGCAGCAGCAGCAGCAGCAGCAGCAGCATCATCAGCAGCAGCAGCAGCATCATCATCATCGTCGTCGTCATCATCATAATCATCATCATCATCATCATCATCATCATCATCAGCATCATCATTGTCGTCGTCGTCGTCACCACCAGAAGAATCATTATCATCATCACCAGCATCATCATCATAATCAGCATCATCATAATAATCATCATCAGCATCATCATCATCATCATTAGCAACATCATCACCAACAATATCATCGTCATCACCATCATCGTACTCACCATCATCATCAACATCAAAATCAGTATCATCATCCGCATAAGCATCGTTAGCATCAGCATGAGCATAAATCGTCATCATCATCATCATCGTCGTAGTCGTCATCATCCTCGTCAATGGCATCGGCATCGGCATCGCCAATGCAATCGTCATCGTCAGCACAACCACCACCACATCCACCACCATCACCGTCAGCATCATGGTCGTAATCATCAGCCTCGCCATCATCGGAATCGATAATCGACATCACCAGCATCATTATCATCATCATCAGCATCGTCATCATCAGCATCATCATCATCCACAGCATCATCGCCATCACCGTCATCATCATCGTCATCATAGTCTTCATCGTCGGCACCAGCACCGCCCTTTCCATCGTCAGCATGGTTCTCGTCATCGTCGGCACCACAACCACCACCGCCATCATCATCATCATTTTCATCATCATCATCATCATCATAATCATCATCATCATCATCGTCATCATCAACATCGTCATCATCAACATCGTCATCATCATCACCATCAGTAACATCATCAGCAGCAGCATCGTCATCATTATCGTCCTCATCATCATCCCAAGCTTCATCATCAGCAACGTCGTCATCATCATCAGTATCACAATGAATATGATCATCAGCATTATTAGCATCATCATCAGCGTCCTCAGTATCACCGTCATCGTCGTCATCGTCGTCATCAGCGTCATCATCAGCATCGACACCGCAATCATCATCATCATCACCATCATTATCATCAGCATCATCGTCATCGTCACAGTCGTCAACATCGTCGTCATCATCAATTTCACAAAAAGCGTTACCAAGGCCAGCATCATCAGCATCGTCATCATCGTCGACATCATCATCCTCATCATCCTCATCATCCTCATCATCATCGTCATCATCAGCATCATCATCCGCATAATATCGTTATCAGCATCGTCCACGTCACCATCAGCAGCAGCCGCACCATCATCATCATCATAATCACATCATCATCAACATCATTATCATCATGATCGTCGTCGACATCGCCATCAGAATCGTCACACTCATCGCCAGCATCATCTCCTCAGCAGCACCACCGTCATCAGCGACATCAGCATCATCAGAATCGAGATCAGCATCGTCGACCTCAGCATCGGCATCATCATCATCATCATCATCATCATCATCATCATCATCATCATCATCGCCATCATCGCCATCATCGCCATCATCGTCATTATCGTCGTCATCATCAGCATGATCATCGTTATCATCACCATTCCTGTAGGCATCTCATCATCATCGTCATACTCAACAATATCGTCATCATCACCATCACCACCATCGTCATCATCATCATCATCATCAGCATCATCATCCGCATCGTCATCCTCATCATCATCACCATCGTCGGCACCACCATCACCATCGCATAATCAGCATCGTGAGAAACCCCCTCAGCATCACAAAAATTATGCTGATCGGCAATAGCATACACGTAGTCCTAATCATAAGCACCATCAGCATCATCATCATCATCATCATCATCCTCATCATCGTCATCATCATCGTTGTCATCATCATCGTCAACAGCATTATGAGTATTATCATCACCGTCATTCTCATCATCAACATCATAATCATAATTTTGATAATAATACTCAAAATACTAATGAAAATAACAATAATCATACTGGTCAT